AATCTGCACCTAGAAACATACCCACGCTTCGGGATGTTCAGTCTCGTGCTGTATTGGTAAGCAAAGTTGTCCATGTGATCGAGGAAATTCGGGAATATGTGACTAGCGACTGTCCCTCGGAAAGACGTATAACCACAATATCAACACTCAAAGATAGTAATGACAAAGCTAAATAAATGTACTTTCATAAATAGCATACGTACCCATGTTTGCTCTGTTTAACTGTTTATTCAAAACCAGAGTTAACATGATGACAAAATGCTAGAAAAGCAAAATTTGAGGATTTTTTAAATGAATTTTGGTTATCCAACTTTTCCCAAAATGACAATAATTTTCCCAATTTGAATGGCCCCGGCCCCAGTCCCAAAAAGTGGTGTGAGAGCCCTGAACCTTCTCCAAAAACATTAACCTGGTCATTCCTTTGCTGAAATTTCAGCATCTGAAACTGTGACTAGTACAATGAAACACAATAGGAACAACTTCCATGCATGTCTAATCAATATAGGACATAGAAGTACTTAAAAGGAAAACTGCTCCAAAAAACTTAACCTTAACCCGGGACGCCGACACCGACGCCGAGGGTATTACATAAGCTCCCCCAACTTCATTGAGGTGAGCTAAAAATCAGAAATGTTCAGTAATCAAATTATTTTGATGTTTCATCAAGATTTCAAATGGATACACATAATTATGAGCCAAATCGTAGTTACTGAAATCAGATCAAAGCTATTCTATTTTAAGTAACCATGGCACCTATGATTTATTGATTGTAAGTTGTTTAACTTCCCTCTGAAGAATGTTTCACTCCTATGGAAATGGTTCCCCTAATTTTTTTTTTTTGCATTAATCTTATTTGGTCCTTGACAATTAGAGCTAAAGTATACTTACTCTTGTAGAATAAATCCAAGATATGCTTGGAAATCTGAAATGAAAATATACTAGAAATTAAGCTATATAAAAAATAATTTCATTGTGTATCTAATGCAGGGCAACTTTACCATCCCAAAATTTTGTCTTGGAAGAAAATGTTTATATTTATTTCCCTACAATCATATTATATTCCAGCTCTGGATCATCAATGTGCATGTACTACTAAAACAACAACATGTGTTTGTGAAACACTATGCCCCTGATGGTAACACAATTCTGGAGTGGGATGTAGACTGAAGTGGTATATACCTCAGGGCTAGGGCTAGGTTAAAGTTGAAAAGAGACAGAAAAACAGATAGACAGACAGGACACAAACAATATACCCCCAATATTTCGATCCAGGGGCATAAAAATTTTTAACCAAAAGTCTCTCAATGAAACCGATAGTAATTAACAAGACCATGCATGTATAGCTCTAACAAATCTTCTGGGATTGTAATTCGGTTTACCTTTCTAATTCTCCCGGCATCTTTGTCTCTCTGAGTAGCCTGGGAATTTCTGATCACCAGAGATAAAATTTCTGTCAATACAAAACATTATTTTATGGAACCCTGCAGTCTCTGATGAGAATCTCTGTCTTCATACAGTAAAACTTGGCTGAAGCAAAGTCCCTCGGACTTGTTTTTTTTTTTCAATTATGACTACTGTATATTTTCAACAAGAGGCCCATGGGCCACATCGCTCACCTGAGAAGCTTTGTCCATTCTGTTCTTTACCAGATTTCCTCCTTGTAATACATAATGCATCCCCACCCTACCCCACTGATCATAATTTAGACATTTTGAAATCTACACTACCCCAGGATCCTTCCATGTGCACATAAGTTTCAGCTTTTCTGGCCCAGTGGTTCTTGAGAAGATTTTCAAAGATTTTTCCTATATATTCCTATGTAAAACTTTGATTCCCCATTGTGGCCCTGCCCTTCCCCCAGGGGTCATGATTTGAACAATTTAGAATCTAAACTACCCCAGGATGCTTCCACATAAGTTTCAGCTTTTCTGGCCTAGTGGTTCTTGAGAAGAAGATTTTCAACGATTTTTCCTACATATTCCTATGTAAAATTTTGATTCCCCATTGTGGCCCCGCCCTTCCCCTGGGGGTCACGATTTGAACAATTTAGAATCTACACTATACCAGGATGCTTCCACATAAGTTTCAGCTTTTCTGGCCCAGTGGTTTTTGAGAAGATTTTCAAAGATTTTTCCTATATATTTCTATGTAAAACTTTGATTCCCCATTGTGGCCCTGCCCATCCCCCGGGGGTCATGATTTGAACAATTTAGAATCTACACTTTACCAGGATGCTTCCATATAAGTTTCAGCTTTTCTGACCCAGTGGTTCTTGAGAAGAAGATTTTTTAATGACCCCATCCTATTTTTGTCCGTTCTTGATTATCTCCCCTTGTGAGGGGACTTGGCCCTTTATTTTAAGAATTTAAATTCCCCTTCACCCAAGGATGCTTTGTACCAAGTTTGGTCAAAATAGGCCCAGTGGTTCTTGAGAAGAAGTCGAAAATGTGAAAAGTTTACAGACTGACAGACGGACAGACAGCTATACAGTTGAGAGGTACATTGTGCATTTTACGGAAGGTGCGGGGTTATCATTTTGCTTTGTGGGGTTATTAATAGTAGAGTGGTGACTTGAGAGGTTTCATTAGGAATTCAAACAAATGGTATATTGTGGGGTTAAAGGTCTATATTTGTGGGGTTAAAGATCTATGTTTGTGGGGTTAAAGATCTATGTTTGTGGGGTTAAAAATTAATTATTTAATATCAAGTCAACTTCACAGGCAACTAATTATAAGTACTTAAAATTGTTACTGTTTATCAGAAGAACTTAGAACGGAATAGAAATAACATTTTTCAACAACTGCATAGCAGTAACAATGCAAAAAAATGTTTTTATTTGAGGATAGCTGTTGCATCAAAGTAAATTAACCCATCATGTTTTCACTGAAGATGATAGACAAGAATATCCCAGAAGTGTTAAACAAACAACCCCACTATGCTATATAGATATAACAGACAACACTAACCCCATAAATTATAAGACAAACAACCCCAGTATGTACTCTTAAAAAGATAATAGACAACACTAACCCCATTAAGCGTTTGGACAGCAACCCCACTATGTACTCTCATAAAGATAATAGACAACACTAACCCATAAAGTGTTTGGACAGCAACCCCACTATGTACTCTCATAAAGATAATAAACAACACTAACCCCATAAAGTGTTTGGACAGCAACCCCACTATGTACTCTCATAAAGATAATAGACAACACTAACCCCATAAAGTGTTTGGTCAGCAATCCCACTATGTACTGTTATAAAGATAATAGACAACACTAACCCCATAAAGTGTTTGGACAGCAACCCCACTATGTACTGTTATAAAGATAATAGACAACACTAACCCCATAAAGTGTTTGGACAGCAACCCCACTATGTACTCTCATAAAAATAATAGACAACACTAACCCCATAAAGTGTTTGGACAGCAACCCCACTATGTACTCTCATAAAAATAACAGACAACACTAACCCCATAAAGTGTTTGGACAGCAACCCCACTATGTACTCTCATAAAGATAATAGACAACACTAACCCCATAAAGTGTTTGGACAGCAACCCCACTATGTACTCTCATAAAGATAATAGACAACACTAACCCCATTAAGCGTTTGGACAGCAACCCCACTATGTACTCTCATAAAGATAATAGACAACACTAACCCCATAAAGTGTTAGGACAACAACCCCACTAAGTACTCTTATAAAGATAATAGACAACACTAACCCCATAAAGTGTTTGGACAGCAACCCCACAATGTACTCTCATAAAGATAACAGACAACATTAACCCCATAAAGTGTTTGGATAGCAACCCCACTATGTACTCTCATAAAGATAGTAGGCAACACTAACCCCATAAAGTGTTAGGACAACAACCCCACTATGTACTCTCATAAAGATAATAGACAACACTAACCCCATAACGTGTAACAACCCCATTATGTTCTTATATAGATAAAAGATAACATTTACCCCACAAAGTGTTAGACAAGAACCACAATATGTTCTGATAGAAAATATCAGACATCTGAGTAACCTCAGAGTGTTAAACAAACAACCCGCTGTGTTCTCATGTAACAGATACCAGTAACCATATGAATTTAAGTGTTTGAAAACCCCAAGTATGTTCGAATATCAAAAACTCTACCAGGGACTGGTAATAAAAGAACAAGTACCCCCACTATGTTCAATCGCAACTTCTCGAGCCTTTCTGACTAGCTGACAAACGACCTCGAATGTATTAGTTAGACGCCATGGCAACAACCCCCCCTTTCATGATCTTCGAAATAAATGCATGAAGACCTTTTATCTGTGGAATATGGAGTTTAACTTTATTCAATGCTATGATATTACATAAAATATACTATAAAAGGGACTTCTTAATTCCTCTATCCTATATTTGAAAAAAAACAAGAAAAGCAAAACCTTTAACATCAGGTGATGTTAATACATTCGAGGTTGTTTTTCCAAACTCTGACGGAAAGACCCTGAGTGAGATGATGCGATTGCCAGTACGTCATATCCTTTTTTTTTACTATTAAAAATACCAAACAATACTCATAATACTTTTTCCTATTTTGATAACATACTCGAAAATTTGTTTTAAATATTTTTCAAACTATTTTAAATTGGATAATCTCTTTATATTTACTGCTTATTTCTAATGATAATTTTTCCTTTGAATCTGCTGGTGCATGAATTTGAAGTGTACATTATGCATCAAAAGCATACATAATTTCATTGTAAATTAATAATAATAAATAAAAGAGATGATCCCGATTTTTTAAAAAAAATTTAATCAAACTTTTCAGTTACTCGACAAGTTGAATACAGATAAGAAACATGTCAATAATTGTAGAACACAGAAAAAAAACCCTCAAAATTTGAGACAATCTTCATAGATGTAAAAAAAAAACAAGTATATAGTGAGTTGTCAAATAACTCCAAAACTTGCATGTTATTGCTACTTATTTTAAACAAAATATATTAATTAAAATGAAGTTTTAAGAAAAAAAGTTTAGTCTAATATCTCATCATTTTGCATTTTAAAATTGATCTTAAAACAAAAATAACGATGTACATCCTTTTGGAAAATATACTCAAACTTAGAGCTGCACCCCCACTCCCATCCCCTAAAATAAAATGAAAAAAAACCAACATGCAATTGATTTATAATTTTCAAAAAATTAAAATCAAACAACGTAAATGTACATTTCAGTTTAATAATTATTTCTCACATTTAAAATGAGATCGCTAATTAAAAAAGACGAAAACTATGACTGTTAATGTATAGAAATTCGCATGCCGAATGCAATGTTCATAAAAGATCCTTTTGTCTTAAAGCTGAACACTACTCATAAACATAAGTAATCAGAGATTACATAGCTCAATTCAAAAAATGATTACTTCAAGTTGACACGGTCTCACATTTAACTAATAATCAAGAAGTTAATTTAAGGTTTGCAGTAACTTGAGAATAGACATCCAAATACTTGAAACTAGTTGCACATCAAGAAAATGTAATTCAAATCCACGACCCATGTAAATGTTATCTTTTTAGATTAACTTTCAAAAATCGATTCATCTTCTTTTTCTGAAAAGTAAGTCAGGTCCTGAATGTCGCCGTTTGGAGAAGGCAATGGCAAAAATGAATCGGGATTGTGCTTGTTCTTCTGAAAAGTCTTTAACTCATACTTCATGTATACCTGTCAAAAAAAAAACAACAGTAAAATATATTTCTAAATGATAATGTTGAATTTTTTTACAGGTTATGTTTTAATTTATTGTAAAATAATATTGTTGTCTTGATTTTATGGGCACTTATAACATGTACTAACCATCGATCTGGATGTCTTTAATAGTTGCTTTCCTTAAATTTGTGAACTATATTCAGATCACAAATTGTGTGTTCAAGTCATAGGTTTGTTCTTTCAACTTTATGAATGTCCGACGCCTGCTGGTGTTGCTGCAACAATAGAGTGGCCTAGATCATCAAAGTTCCACTGATGTTCACTTTCAGTGGTATCTGAACTCTACAAAGGAATACAGAAGCAAATGTTTATTTATAACACACACAAAAATTCCGAGTTACTAATTAAAATTCATCGAAATTTATTTATAGCATAGTTGTCATGTACTGTGAACTACTTTCTTATATTGGTAAAAGGTGAAAAAGTACAGTCAAACTTGTTATATTGAAGTAAAAGGTGCCATCCTTAAAAAAGTACAGTCAAAAAACTGGATTTTTTTTTGTTCAAAAAAAAATTTTTTTCTTTACGTATCCATTTTCCATTTTTATCTGATTGATATTTTTGACTGTTTTTAAAAAAGAACTGATGTGTTCTGATATATGAGCAATAAAAGATTGAATTCATTAAGAATGCTTTAATTTTCTTGTTTGACTAGTAAGGTGAAATATAAGACATAGTTAATACCTCTATGTAATCTAAATTTATTTCTGACTTTTTGTCTAAAAAAAAAAATAAGCCTACCTACCTACCCACACCTAAAATGACAAGGCGCGTTACCGCAAAAAACAAAATTTTTAAGGATGGCCTTATTCCAGTTTGCCAAAGAAGTAGCCAGTCGGTCAATAAATAAACAGCAATAACCACTACAGTTGATTTAATTAAACATGTCAATTTCACAAAACCTTTGTATGTGTGTATATATATATTAATCCATGCTTATTTAAAAAATATCAAATTAAAGAATTCCAAATTTTTAAGGTTTTGTGCATGTTCAGTGGCGTAGCTACCATGTATGCTTGTATGCTCGAGCATGCACATCATTTTGAAAAAAAAGATAATGAGACTCTATGACTTGACTCCTTCTCAGTCATGTACAAATTAAATTATAACTGTAGTATCAAAAGTTATGTTTCTTCTAATTTTCTTTACATGTACACTTGCGTAGTTTTACTACTTAAAAAAAAATAAAGTCACTGACACTAGTACTGTAAGTTAGAAAACCATTATGGCAGCTACCGTAAAAAATTGGGCATTTCATTTTCTCAAATGAAATTAAGTTTAAGGGTTGAATTTACAAAAATATTTATTTTATAAGATGAATTAATAAGTAGATTGTTCTGAGCCACTTTAATTTTATTTATTACCTTATGTAATATTCTTTTTTTTCGTAATTTTTGCGGATAAAAAACATCGCCGAAAATTTTTATACTAGCCAATCTACGATAGCATGTCCTGTATTACTTAAAAATTAAGTCTTTTTTTTTTTTTTAAATCGTCTCTCTACAATTATAATTGCTCCTTGGGTTTATTTATAATGGTAAAACGTTGTCAAGATATGTATTTTCTTCACTTTCTTTTATGATTTTATGAGTGTTTAAATCGTCAGAATCCAGGAGCTTCCGGGGGCTTCGCCCCCTGGGCCCCCACCAGGGCTTTGCCCTGGACCCACTCGGGGCCTCAGGGCGGCCCCCAGACCCTTGCAAATTGGAGCATGCACTTCATTTTCAGCCTAGCTACGCCACTGTTGTTTCTGTTCCTACAAAACAGTTAAACTTCATACATTCATAAGTGTTCAGAGTTCCCGAAACGCACCGGTCCACTAGGGATCCCCGTAAACTTTGAATGGGACCGGTAAAATCTTAATTTTATCGGTCAAAATGTCTGATGGTTTTTTTTTTACAGACTGTATAACGTTTACATATAATCTTAACAAAATCATTTAATTCAATTGTCCTGACAATAAACAAATGCAAAACTAAAGGAATGAAAAAGAAAACGTCAGGGGCGCGCCTGATCTTGTTTAAATAAAATGTGTAAAATTGTCTACTATAAAAAGCTACATATTAAAATAATAATTTCCATAAGTCTGGGAGGAAAAACAGTTTTAAAAACACTGTCAAACAAATATTTTCCCTCTGATAAATATATGCACTCTGTAGTTCTGACAGTAAAAAAATGTGACAATCTACTTTCGTTTTGAAGGACGAATTTGCAGGGTTGCAAGAGTTGCCTGCTATTTCTGCTTGATTACAGACAATTTGTTACCATTTATTATTTTCTCTATAATTTAATCTATTAGCATGATAATATTATACCAACTTCTGGATTTTTTAAATGTATTTGATAGCATTTAAAATACATGCGCGTTTTTCCCCTTTTCTAAAAATAGCGGACTGACTTGAATGTAGTAAAACGACAACAAATTCACTTAAATCATCATTTTCATGATAAATTTGCATATCTTTATATCATTAGTACATATTTTTAACTGTGTGGAGGTTATATAATAAATTTTAACTAGTCAGAAATATCGGACGTTTTCCAGGCTTTTTAAAACGAGTTTGATATTTTACGTAATATTTTTCCTGGCACATAAAATACCAAAATCCTAAATCCAAAAGAAAAAAGCCTGGAAAACAACATATATTTCCCACTAATTCCAAACAATCAACCAAGAGTTGTCATGTTGCAGATTTTATTTTAAAAAAAATTTTTAAAAATCTGTCAGAAAGGACATAATAATTTTATACGATGAATTAAGCGTTGGTCATCACACGCCGTCGGCGACGTCAAATCCTGCATACACAGGCCTTATAGAAAATATTTTAATCATTTTTTTTTTAAATCTGCATTTGCCATCTTTTTATTTACACATATTATTTATTATATCGACACAATTTCCAATCCTATAATATGTTAAATTTACATACAAAAAATTAATGTCAGGTAAATTTTACAACTGTCCGGTGAATTTTGAATATTTACAAGACAATTGTCCGACATATTTTTGACTAGTTTCGGGAACTCAGAGTGTTCTTTTGTTACATTCAAATATATGATAATTGAATTACAGTATCATTCAAGAAGAAATACATGTGCCTTACTACTATCTATTTTTTTAATAAGAAAAAATACACAAGCTTTAATTAAAAGACAGTTTAATGGTGAATTAAAAGTATGAAAATTTATTTTAGTAAGTGTCAATAAAATCCATTTAAAAACTTCACTATCATATGTTCAGGTAATGATCAGCAGTGTACCCCCCCCCCCCCCCCTTCAATTAATCCTCGATCAACTAGTTTGCTGAAGCTTTTAGAGTCTGGTAAATTTTTAATATTATTTTTATAAAGCTGTCAGAATTTCTATCTAACATGCAGACACACCCAAAAAATTATTCAATTGACCAAAGATTTGTATTTACCCAGTTTAAAATCATTCTACACAACACAGGTGTCAAGTGCAGTAGAGCGTAACTAATCCCTATCGATCGTCTCCTGATAGTGAAATTCACGAGATAATCATGCTATACAAAACATTTGTTTTGACAAAAATTGCAATTAGAGCTTCTACACGGAATCAAAATCTAACAGGTGTGAAAATACTGATAGCCCTGTATTAGCTAAGTCACATACTCTCACTGTAAATATTCAAAGTAATGATGAATTAATATTGTAAATTACAAAATGTAGCTTTAAGCTTGAATTTCTTTAAGTTTAGCTATGGAAAAACTATTATTTGTGATTTAATTCTTTTAAATTTTCAATCGTCGATCTTGAAAAATAAGTACAAATTGATCTTACATGACAATTATATTTTTTCCATTAACACAAACAGAGTTATATAATTTTATATACGTATCTAAAGGTAATTTGTTTAATTTCTTTAATAGGTGAATTTTATTATCGGGCACATAATTACACAAGCGAATGTGAAAAAAATGTGACATAATGGGTATTTTAACAACTGATTAAAATGTCCTGCACTCATTTATAAACATTGATTGTCATTTATCAAATTGATATACCACTAAATTTTACAACCTAATTATACAACCCCATGTTGATTCCTACAAAGCCTACTTGCTGTGAAAATTTATTGCAGTGACATTGTTAATTCCATTTTTCCATTCTGATTTTCTCTCTATAGATTAAGGTACGATTACAAGTACATGTAAACAAATGTGTGAAGAGTAGATAAATACTTGGTACGTATCTAGAATGAATTCAGAGAGAGAGAGAGAGAGAGAGAGAGAGAGAGAGAGAGAGAGCAATTATACTACGAAACAGGAGGATAAAATTAAAGCCAAAAATATTCAATTTGAAAAAATTTAAACACGGAAGATTTAAAAATTAATCGGGAGGGGCGGAACAGGCGTGAAAAATCCAGAGATTTTGTCTCCCGTCGGAAGAATCACATGTATTTATGTTATGAGATATCTGCATGTATTTACCATAGATATAGAGAAAATTCGAATTAAGAAAAAACACGATCGTTTTTTGAAGTAAATAAGCCAAGTAGTACTCAAATACGGATTAAATTATGGAGATTTATTGACAGTTGGAGCATGTTATATGGAAAATTTAAATGGTTTGGATTTTTATAGCAAAAAACGAGTGAAAATACGTACCAGGTGTGCTTTGCACGTATTGCATGTGTATAAATAATATTATCTTTTTTTACTGGCCAACGGGGCGACCTTCATGCAGAAAACCACTAGCCCGACCCCCGGGTATCGGTCGATTTTCATTGCAGACCTCTGATTAAAAAAAGAACTATCAGTGCATTCATTATAATTTTTTTCACAAAAGCCCGTTTTCAATAGGTATGTGTTTATGTGGACTACAGATGTCCTTTCCTTGACTTTAAATAAAATCTACAACTGCATAATGTACGTATGAAGCATGTCAAACAATTTACAAAGCTTTTTTTCAATGTGGTGCAACAAAATAGTAAGACTTACTGCATTTGCTTTTTGTGTTTCCGAATTTCCTCACTGCTAATACAAAGTGTCCAAACACAGCTACTTCCGTAATCTGCGCATGCGCAGTTAGTTTTAAATATATGCGCATGTTCAGGTATTCGGAACTCCTCGATTCAATTACCGAACTCCTCTAAACAGCAGATTTCTGAATGTCTGAGCGTTTTGGGCTAAGGACATGTCCAAAATTTGGACAAAGTCTTTGTGAGGTTAAATCTAATTTTAGGTTTTTCGACCTCATAGAGTAATTTTGAACGTAATTAGACCTCTTCATTATGGGGTTAACCCCACAGTACCCAAAAAACCCCACACTGCTGGAAAATACGTTAATTTTACCGCACAATGTACCTCTCGTAAGAACAGACAGACGGACGGACGGACGACGGACAAAATGTGATCAGAAAAGCTCACTTGATCCTTCGGCTCAGGTGAGCTAATGACATTCTACATAAAATTCAAAGACAAAAACTAGTTTTTTTCCACAAGAGAAATACATTGTGTGCAAATACGTAGTATAGAGTGATATTTGTACAAGAGTTCAGCGGTCTCACATAAGGTAAATTACAGTGTATAAATACAGGTGACTCTCGATGGCTCGAACTCCAACCTCTCGAAGTTCTCCATCTCTCGAAGTGAACCTCCGGTCCCGTTTTTTTCCCTCTCTATAAATAAGCAAATTTACTCCTGATCTCTCGAACTTCTATCTCTAGAAGTTCTCTATCTCCTAAACCATGACATGGGTCTCGTTACACGTCATTGTTTTTCACTCTCTATCTCTCGAAGTTTAGATTGACTTACCTGGATATCAGTAAATGCCTGGGGCTGGCATGGAGGTGTTAACTGTGTGTTTACATAGATGACACTAAACCTGTCGGTTGTCATTGTGTTGATATAATGAATTGGTTATAATTGGTAAATTATAAACGAATTGCTTCTCAACTTATTTTGACTTGAACCAAGACGATAATTTTTAGAAAATAATTTGAAAACATATGTGTCAAAAAGTTCTTATAGACTATGAACTTTTAGTTCAGTGTACATAATCCCAGTATGGCAAACAAGGATTGAACATGTTGAATACTGATTACGAGAAATCTGACGAACACTGGTAAAGGACCTGATCAAGCTGCGGAACAGCCAAACCGACAATTGCTATTTAGGTTTCATGTACCCTAATCATGAAATAACAAGAGGCCCATGGGCCACATCGCTCACCTGAGTACTGTAGCTTAGAAAAAGTAGAAATTGGTTTATTATTGAAAAGTTAAAATCCAAAAGTAATCCCATGATCAATCATGGATTTGCTATTCTTCAAAGAATTTTCCCATATATTTCTATGTAAAACTTTGGTCGGCCATTTTGGCCCCGCCCTACCCCCGGGGGTCATGATTTGGACAAATTTGAATCTACACTACCTGAGCATGCTTCCATATAAATATTATGAATTATGGCTTCGTCATTCTTGAGAAGAATATTTTTAAAGAATTTTCCTATATATTTCTATGTAAAACTTTGGTCGGCCATTTTGGCCCCGCCCTACCCCCGGGGGTCATGATTTGAACAAACTTGAATCTTCACTACCTGAGGATGCTTCCATATGAATTTGATGAATTATGGCTCTGTCATTCTTGAGAAGAAGATTTTTAAAGAATTTTCCTATATATTTCTATGTAAAACTTTGGTCGGCCATTTTGGCCCCGCCCTACCCCCGGGGGTCATGATTTGAACAAACTTGAATCTTCACTACCTGAGGATGCTTCCATATGAATTTGATGAATTATGGCTCTGTCATTCTTGAGAAGAAGATTTTAAAAGAATTTTCCTATATATTTCTATGTAAAACTTTGGTCGGCCATTTTGGCCCCGCCCTACCCCCGGGGGTCATGATTTGAACAAACTTGAATCTACACTACCTGAGGATGTTACCCCATAAGTTTCATCTTTCCTGGCACAGTGGTTCTTGAGAAGAAGATTTTTAAAGAATTTTCCAATATATTTCTATGTAAAAATTTGGTCGGCCATTTTGGCCCCGCCCTACCCCCGGGGGTCATGATTTGAACAAACTTGAATCTTCACTACCTGAGGATGTTACCCCATAAGTTTCAACTTTCCTGGCACAGTGGTTCTTGAGAAGAAGATTTTTAGAACATGGCACCAAATTTTCATTAATTCCCAATTATCTCCCCTTGAATGAGGGTGTGGCCCTTCATTTGAACAAACTTGAATCCCCTTCACCCAAGGATGCTTTGTGGCAAGTTTGGTTGAAATTGGCCCAGTGGTTCTTGAGAAGAAGTCGAAAATGTGAAGAGTTTACAGACAGACGGACAGACAGACGGACAGCTGGACAGACGGACGGACGCCGGACAAAATGTGATCAGAAAAGCTTACTTGAGCCTTCGGCTCAGGTGAGCTAAAAACAAATAAATATTGAACCTTTAGGAAATCAATTTATTTATTCAAAATACGATAATTGTCGTTAATATAAGTAAATTACATGGAAAATACGATTGGAAACAAACTTTGTTTACAAATACTTCCGGTATATACAACATTGATGAACGGAAATGAAATTTCCGGATTTTATTTACTTCCTATCTCTCGAACCCCCCGATCTCTCGAACATTTCTTGCGGTCCCTTGAACTTCAAGAGATCTCGAGTCACCTGTATTTTATAAAATAGGATTGGGCAAAAGGCTCAGTCTATTTTACAAACACACGTTTTTTACTTACATTTTACAACATGAAGGTCTCACAAAGTTGGAGATAGACTGTTTTTAATTGATATATGAAGAGCTAAAGATTCTGATAACTATATAATAGATGTACAAGCACAAATATAGCAAGTTTAGTATGAATTAGACCCTTACCTAAATACCATGGTTCATCACTACAAGTAGACAGGTCTGATATTAACTCACTGGAAAAGGCTTCAACAAAATCTGGTGAAGAATATTTACTGAAATAATAAACATGAAAATATAGGCATTGCACATCTCAGTCAATGTTAATTAACCAAACAAATTATCTCAAATTCTTTTCATTCGAGTTCTATTTAAGCAATATGTAAGGGATATTCTTAAACAATGTTTATTCTACTTTGTTTCCAAACCTCGATGACCATTATGGCAGAAGAGGAATCTAAGCACACTGATCGACCCACCCCACATGGTCAATAGGAATCAACTCCTCCTGAGTTTATGTCCCAAAAAATCTCTGACAACAAGCATATTTATGATTTGATAAATCAGTACATATGTACCTAACTACCTATGTGATTTAATTAAGAAATTAGGTATCATTTTAAATTATCTATCAGGATATAAATTCTGGTTGGTCTCAAGATTAAATTACATAAGGCCCGAAGGTCTTTATGATGAATTTGATCTCGTACCAACCCATATTTATAGCCCGATAGATGTTTTAAAAATGATACCTTATTACTTATATTTACATTTGTGACTTATTCATACTTCATATTTGCCTGAGTGTGACTTTTAACGTGTGAAATGCATTATTTTTCAAACCCAACGGCATGTTCGTAATCCACTGAACGCCCGTCGACCCTTTATGACTTCACTGAGAAATTAGGTCGAAAGTTTATCCATACGCAAATCTATTACCTCTTGACCCCGTACCAGTATTTATACAGTTATAGATACGCATTGCTTTCAGTAGTGTTATATAAAGGAAAACATTTGCAAATGTAAATATTTATAAATAACATTCAATAATGATTTGCTTTTAATTTGTTTTGGGTTGCTCTTATTTTCTTATTTTCAGTTATCTTTTAACTAACACTACTTCCAGACTGCTTGTTCTAATACAGACTTTACTGGACCAAGTTTTACTTACAAAGATAAGTATGTGTCTAAAGCCATTACTTCTTCTTTGTGAAGTACCCATACAACAAAAATAGGTAGCCTCCTCTGTAAACAAGCATTAAAGTTAACAAGAATTAATCTTACACCACTGTAACAAATAAAGGTTTATATGTCATAATGCTCACCTTGGTAACTTCCTTAATCAACTTTATAAAATATTGATAAGTAGATAATTATATTGTCTATCTAGTTACTTTTCAAATCCAAGTATATTTAGTCTTGATATCAAGTTTACATATTGCAGTTCTCTAGTTCTTGAATAAGTCAAAAAATTTCTATGTACAGCTTCGTTTACTTCTTATGGTGCCATCCTTGCCCAGCAAGTCAAGATTTGAACAAATTTTCACCTACATATACAATACAGAGGTAAACGTACATACAGATGAACAAGAAAATGAAACAAGAGGTCCATGGGCCTTATAGGTCACCTGAGTATATGTATCATGTATATGTAACAACTTTCCAGCAACTGAACTTGGTCGGTGTTATATAGAGAATAATACATACCCTCTTCCATATCACACCCTGTATCAGCCCGAGACCCCAATATCAGCCAGAGGGCCGAAGGCCCTCTGGCTGATATTGGTCGAGGGCTGATACAGGGTGTGATATGGAAAAGGGTATGTATTATTCTATTTATTACATACTTAGTAATAACACACAAAACACTTAACTTTTATTGAACAAATACACTTTGATAACCATTGACTGAATGAACAATTTTATCACACATATTTATACAGTTACTAATGTAACAAGGTCAATGTTTCATACCGATCACTGATGACATATAGACATTATGGGAGCCAGTGGTAGAGATGAACAATCAGAGGATGGAATCAAAGTTTCAGTTGCTTGTTGTTCTGGATATACATTTTCAGATAAACTTGAATAATTAGTGAGAATTGAGGACATATGTTTCTGCTGATCACTGGAGGCAGTGCTGTAATTATTTATCGAGTTAACATTCTTATGACCGGACAACTGCTGAATCAAGGTTGGGGGAACACCTGCATGAACAAGGGAACTAATGGCCGTTTTCCTAGCACTATGATTTACTTTTCTTCCTTGAATTCCACCAGCTTCACACATCACCTTAACAATATTTCCAATCGTGTTTTTTCCCTTAGGTCGATAAATAAACCAAGCTATCTCTTGATTTCCTGAAATGCCTATGTAGAATGGTGACTCAGGCTTTTCCATTGGCTCAGGTCTCCTGTTCGCAAACTCTTTGTAAGCTAACACAGGGCATCTGGGATTACCTGCATGATATAAGATACATAGTACTTATATAAAAATTTAGCACAATACATTCTTTTAAACATGAGTTCCAGGATATTTATGCTTAGCTATGTGTACATTTTTTTTTTCTTTAAAATCAATGTGTACCTCTGTCCTCAAACATTTTCGGAGCAAAATTCCTGGTGTCACTCGTTATCCCAGTTCTTGTCTTAGTTGCTCTTTCTGCGTATTCTAAGTACTCTTCTCCTGTTGAAGTCACTTTCATTGTCACATCACCCCTACTCAGGTTGACATGTTCAATCCTACTGCGCATTCCGAAATGCATTGTATTATTTAGATACAACACATTCATCAGAGACTTTGGATCTCCTAAAAATATTTTTAAACATTGGTAATCAGAGATTACAGAGCTCACCTCAACGAATGTTGTCTTTCAGTAAGGCAAAGTCACACAATTAACCCAAAAAAGTGTACATCCAAAAATGTAAAATTTATGCAATTTTGATTTGATACTTTAGAATAGGCCTATATAAAAACTTCAAACTAGTTCTACAACGTAATTGAAATCCAGCATCTGAAGCAAGTTTAAGAGTTTTCACCCCTTAATGCATCATTTGTGCAGGTTTATAATTGGTTTATATCAACCTTATAGTTTCTTGGTAATAAACCTGCACCAATAACTTATACCAGGTCCATTTTCTGGAAAATCTATGTCGAGTTCAGCATCTGAACATTAGTGTGCGTCCTAAGATATATTATCCATGCAAGTTTGCTCAACATAGAGCTCAAAGTTATTTGGAAATGAAACATGAATAAAAAAAACCTTTTCACTAATCCTGAAAATGTAGGTCAGATTCAGCATCTGAAGCCAGCCTGGTAGAATGCACCCTTAGATGTATAATCCATTCAAGTTTAGTTATTAAAGAGCTCAAAGTTACTTGGAAATGAATCCTGCACCAAAAACTTTAACCTGTTCACTCAACCGGAAAATGTAGGTCAGATTCAGCATCCGAAGCAAGTCTGGTAGTATGCATCCTAAGATGTATCATCCATGCAAGTTTGGTCATTAAAGGGCTCATACTTATCTTTGATATAAAAACTGCACCAAAAACTTGAACCTGTTCACTCAAGTGGAAAATGTAGGTCAGATTCAGCATCCAAAGCAAGTCTGGTAGTATCCATCCTTAGATGTACCATGCAAGTTTGGTCACTATAGTGCTCATAGTTACTTGGAAGGGAGACCTGCACCAAAAGAATTAACCTATTCACTCATGTGGAAAATGTAGGTCAGATTCAGCATCCGAAGCAAGCCTGGCAGTGTGCATCCTTATATGTATCATCCATGCAAGTTTGGTCTACATAGGGCTTATAGTTACTCAAATATGAGACCTACACCAAAAACTGCACCAAAAATGTTAACCTGCTCCAAAAACATTAACCTGGTCATTCCTTGGCTGAAACTGCAGCATCTGAAACTTTCACTGGTACAGTGAAACACACTAGAAACATCTTCCATGCATGTCTAATCAATATAGGACATAGAAGTACTTAAAAAGAAAACTGCTCCAAAAAACTTAACCTTAACCCGGGACGCCGACGCCGAGGGTATTACATAAGCTCCCCCAACTTCGTTGAGGTGAGCTAAAAATGAACTATTTAAGACAGAAAACACACAGATATGTACAGTATATATTGACAAAATTTTATGTTCCGCAAATGACAATCTAAAAAAATCCCTCCTTTTGATATTTATATTTTGTTTAAATTGTAAATTTGAAGAACTAAATATTCTTAGTATTAATAAATTATAACTTACTGGTACCCAGAAGATTCTTTTGGTATAGAATATCAATTTCTTCAGGAGTAAGGGCCTCAGCTCTTTTCTCACGGTTTCCTTTGCCCATGGTTCTTAGTAGCTTTCTTTTCGAGGCGAGAACATCACGAGTTTAAATTCTTTATCATTTATAATGTTTATTTTCAAATTTCTGTCTGAAAAGTAGCGATTAACACTTCCTTGTATTGATTTTTAGAGTGTCTGGTTCAAATTCCTCACCATTCGTTTTCTTCGCATTCATGAAAAATCTAGCTAGATGTAAATCGAGTTCTCCGACCGGGATTTCCTCTGGTTTTCTCAACTCTTTGTTCATTGTTAAGTAATTTGTAAATTTTCTTAGGTCCGAATCAGTTTTTCTCGTTGTGTTAACATTTTTCAGTTCCTTCACAAAGTCAAAGGTAGACTTTTCATCATCCAGCGTGTCGGTCACAGTGTCACTGTCGAGCGTAGTAACTGCTGGCTCGAGGTTTTCATCTTGGCCTAATGGCATTGAATCTAATAAACCGCAAGAATCTTCACATACATCAGTGGTGTTCAAACCACACAAGTATTCCAATTCACTCAGACTGCTTCCAAGAGCTTCAAAGGTTTTTTCATTAAGAAGTTTCTGTTTTTCGTCCATGATCGTCTGCCATATGACATATGGAGTTCCGGATTGAGAGTGAAAATATCCGTATCAGCCCTACAAATCCATATCAGCACTGCAGAATCCATATCAGCCCCCGAGGGCTGATACGGCTAATGTAATTTTAACTGTATCGCATATGCAAAAAACCTGTATTTATTACTAAGTATGTAATAAAAACAAATAACCATGAAATTCACAATTTTGAAAGAGGCACCATTGTTTATCATAATTATACACTTGGCATGTTTACTTTGGTTACTTAATACCCAGAGGTAGATCAGAGAAAGAGAAAACGCCTTTTCACATTATAATCACCAGTTGTGCACCCCTCTCCACAGAAACCACTGATTCTGGGGCCAAATATTTCAAAACTTTGGAAATTTCATCTTAAATTTTATCACAAATCTCAAAGAGGCATCCTTCCTCCTCATAACTATGTACATAGTTCATTGGTTTAATACCCAGGCGCAGAAAAGATTTTCAAAAAATTTATGCATTTTCACTATATAATCTTTACAGCCCCACCCTAGCACTAGAACCCCTGAGCCTGGGGCCATGAAATTCATAGTTTTGGAAGAGGCAGCCTTATTCAATATAACTATGGACTTGGTTAGTTTATTTAATGCCCATGAGCAGAGAAGAAGAATTTCAAAGAATTTATGCATTTTCATTATATAATCTATGTAGCCCCACCCTAGCACTAGAACCCCTGACCCTGGCGCCATGAAATTCACAATTTTGAAAGAGGCAGCCTTATTCAACATAACTATGGACTTGGTTAGTTTTTTTAATGCCCATGAGCAGAGAAGAAGATATTTCAAAGAATTAATACATTTTCACTATATAATTTATATAGCCCAGCCCTATCACCAGAACCCCTGACCCTGGGGTCATGAAATTCATAATTTTAGAAGAGGCAGCCATATTTAACTGAACTATGCACTTGGTTAGGTTATTTAATGCCCAGAAGCAGAAAAGAAGAAATTCAAAGAAATAATGCATTTTCACTATATAATCTATTTAGCCCCACCCTAGCACTAGAACCCCTGACTCTGGGGCCATGAATTTCACAATTTTGGTAGAGGACTTATTGCTGATTACAATCATACCAACAGTTTGAATGCTTGATGTCCAGGAGTTAAGAAGATTTTTAAAGATTGCACTAATTTTAGTGGTTTTTGCCCCATCCCCCAAGCCCCAGGGGGGCAGGGACCATGAAATTCACAATTTTTGTTCCCCTTTACCCATAGATGCTATATGCCCAAGTTGGTTGAAATTGATTCAGCGGTTTCAGAGAAGAAGCTGATGCCCCATCCCCCAAGCCCCAGGGGGGCAGGGACCATGAAATTCACAATTTTTGTTCCCCTTTACCCATAGATGCTATATGCCAAAGTTGGTTGAAATTGATTCAGCGGTTTCAGAGAAGAAGCTGAAAATGTTTAAATGTTAACACACGATGGACGCAATGGACGAAAACAGATAGCAATAGGTCACCTGAGTTTACTCAGGTGACATAATAATGAAAGATTTTATTTTTTTTAATCAAAAGTTAACCTTAAAATACACTTACCTCATTACAAAACAGGTTCAGTAGTCTTGGTCTATTGACAGTGTGTCTGTCTATCATTTCACGAACCATTCTGACCAGACAAGTCAGCTTACCCTATTATAAATATATTAACATCACAAAGACATGAAAGTATTGACTTTTTTATTCCAAATATTGCAAGGAAATAAACTCAACTGTATTGGAAATGCTGATATTAATAACAAGAGGCCCATGGGCCACATCGCTCACCTGAGAAGCCTTGACCATTCTGTTCTTTACCCGATTTCCCCCTTGTTATACATAATGCATCCCCACCCTACCCCACTGATAATAATTTAGACATTTTGAAATCTATACTACCCCATGCTCCTTCCATGGGCACATATATTCAGCTTTTTTTGCCCAGTGTTTCCTGAGAAGATTTTCAAAGATTTTTCCTATATATTTCTATGTAAAACTTTAATTCCCTATAATGGCCCCGCCCTTCCCCCGGGGGTCATGATTCCTACAATTTAGAATTTACACTACCCCAGAATGCTTCCACATAAGCTTCACTTTTTCTGGCCCAGTGGTTCTTGAGAAGAAGATTTTCAAAGATTTTTTCTATATATTTCTATATAAAACTTTGATTTCCCATTGTGGCCCCGCCCTTCCCCCGGGGGTCATGGTGTGAACAATTTAGAATCTACATTATACCAGGATGCTTCCACATAAGTTTCAGCTTTTCTGGCCCAGTGGTTCATGAGAAGAAGATTTTCAAAGATTTTTCCTATATATTTCTATGTAAAACTTTGATACCCCATTGTGGCCCCGCCCTTCCCCCGGGGGTCATGATTTGAACAATTTAGAATCTACACTATATCAGGATGCTTCCACATAAGTTTCAGCTTTTCTTGCCCAGTGGTTCTTGAGAAGAAGATTTTCAAAGATTTTTCCTATATATTTCTATGTAAAACTTTGATTCCCCATTGTGGCCCCACCCTTCCCCTGGGGGTCATGATTTGAACAATTTAGAATCTACATTATACCAGGATGCTTCCACATAAGTTTCAGCTTTTCTGGCCCAGTGGTTCTTGAGAAGAAGATTTTCAAAGATTTTTCCTATATATTTCTATACAAGAGGCCCAAGGGCCTTGAATCGCTCTTCTGATAAATTGTACAATCTATCACTTCTATTTGAAGCCTCTAACCTTAAGTATCCTAAGACCCAAGTTGCATCAAATGACAAAGTTTGATGATTTTTAGCCAATAATGACTGAAAATATTTTTAATAATAAAGCTATAAAAAACCATAAGTACATCACAGTGACCTATATTAAGATTGAAATTTTCTGAGGACTCAAGATGCATTAATAAACAAAGATTGAAGATTCTAAGCCAATAAGTATTTGAGATATTTAAAAGTAGGTCACCATGACCTACCTTTTTGTCTACATTCTTTGAAAACCCAAGATACATCAACTGACAAAGTTTGATGATTCTAAGCCAAACAGTACCTGAGATATTTAAAAGTAGGTCACCATGACCTACTTTCTGATTGACATTCTCTAAAAACCAAAGATGTATCAACAAACAAAGTTTAGTGATTCTAAACCAGTTATTACCAGAGCTACTTGAATAAAGCCATAAAATGTCAAAAGTAGGTCACAGTGACCTACTTTTTTGACATCATTCTCCGAAAACCCAAGATGCATCAACTTACAAAATTTGATGATTCTAAGCCAATAAGTACCGTAGATACTTAAATAAAGCCATAAAATGTCAAAAGTAGGTCACCATGACCTACTTTTTGGTCATCACTCTCCGAAAACCCAAGATGCATCAACTCACAAAGTTTGATGATTCTAAGCCAATAAATACCTAAGATACTAAAATATAGCCATAAGAAGTCGAAAGTAGGTCACAGTGACCTACTTTTTGGACATCATTCTCCGAAAACCCAAGATGCATCAACTTACAAAGTTTGATGATTCTAAGCCAATAAGTACCATAATTACTTAAATAAAGCCATAAAATGTCAAAAGTAGGTCACCGTGACCTACTTTTTGTTTGTTACTCTCCGAAAACCCAAGATGCATCAACTCACAAAGTTTGATGATTCTAAGCCAATAAATACCTAAGATACCAAAATATAGCCATAAAATGTTGAAACTAGGTCATCATGACCTATATTTTGGTCAACATTTTTCAGAGTCACAAGATGCATCTGCTGACCAAGTTTGATGATCCTAGGTCTGAAGGTAATCGAATATGCCTTTTAAATAATTCGAAAACAAATGCCTGTAAAATTCAAAAAGTAGGTCACAGTGACCTACTTTTTCATAAATATGTTTTAAAGTCCCAAGATGCATCAATTAACAAGATTTGATGATTCTAAACCTCTCAGTGTCTGAAATAATTGGATTAAATGTTTTAAGAAGAATTAGTCATAAAGTTCAAAAAGTAGGTCACGGTGACCTACTTTTAAGCTGACGTTGTTCAAGGACCCAAGATGCATCAACTGACAAAGTTTGATGATCATAGGCCTTAAAGTGCCCGAAATATGCCTTCAAATCAATTTGAAAACAAATGCTCACAAAATTTAAAAAGTAGGTCACCGTGACCTACTTTTGAGTTAACATGATGTGAAGTCCTGAGATGCATCAACTTACAAGATTTGATGATCCTAGTCCTAATAGTAAGCAAAATATAAACATTTTTATTATTTGTAAATTTAGGTCAACTTTGAAGTGACCTTGAGACCACGCCCTTTGCCAGAGGGTCATGCCTTGAACAATTTTTAATCTTCAACATATCCTGATCCTTGTATGTAAGTTTGGTGAAAATCTGCCAGGTGGTTCTGGAGAAGAAGATTTTTTAGCAACCAGTACTTTTGGTTTTGTTTTCCTGATTATCTCCCCTTGTTTAAGGGTCTCAACCCTTTTTTTAGTATAAATGGTAGCCCTTGGGCCAAGGATACCCTGTGACAAATTTGACAATAATTGGCCAAGGGGTTCGTAAGTTATGGCCCATAATCTAAAAAGTTAACGCACACCGCACACCGCACGACGCACACCGCACAAATGGCCATAGCATTAGCTCTTTGAGCCTTTGGCTCAGAAGAGCTAATAAAACTTTGATACCCAATTGTGGCCCCGCCCTTCCCCCGGGGGTCATGATGTGAACAATTTAGAATCTACACTATACCACGATGCTTCCACATAAGTTTCAGCTTTTCTGGCCCAGTGGTTCTTGAGAAGAAGATTTTCAAAGATTTTTCCTATATATTTCTATGTAAAATTTTGTTACCCCATTGTGGCCCCGCCCTTCCCCCGGTGGTCATGATTTGAACAATTTAGAATCTACACTATATCAGGATGCTTCCACATAAGTTTCAGCTTTTCTTGCCCAGTGGTTCTTGAGAAGATTTTCAAAGATTTTTCTTATATATTTCTATATAAAACT